GGCGAAGAAGACGCGGTTGTAGCTGTACTTGGCCTGCGGGTAGACCCAGGAGTTGGCGACGAAGACGACGGCGCCGCCGTGGCCGGGCACGTCGTGGAGGGTGATGGTCTTGAGGTAGAACTCGGTGTCGCTGTTGTTCTTGACGATGATGGCGCCCGGCACGCCCAGCTCCATGGACCAGTTGAAGGTCACCTCGAACCTCTCCTCGCCCGTCGGGGCGCTCAGCAGGCTCTTCTTCAGGAGGAGACACGGCTCCAGGTTCGCCTCCTCGCCCACCTCCCCGCGGCTCGCCTTGCCTGCAGCTGCACCACACCACGTACAAATATAACATGTTCTCAATATAAACTGTACACGGACCGAATGTGTTTATATTCATCCGAATAAGAAAAGTGTTACAACATCTTACAATAATGAGCCCGAGGGATTACTTTGAAATGAAAAAAGTGCGCGTGCGTGCACTGTGGCTGTGGGGTGGGTTAAAGGGAGTGGTGAGTGCTCACCCCGGCCGCGAAGGGTGGAGCTGATGAGCTGGCAGGTGACTCCGCCGCCGAAGAGCTCCGTGTCGGTGCCGCCGTCCATGGCGGTGCCATGGAAGTCGTGGAAGTCGAGCGCCTTCTTAGGGATGAGGACCAAGGAGCCCTTGAGCCCCCCTGCCCCGGGCACCATGCCGCCAGCGCTCAACATCTTGGTTCGAATCGAAAAGGGGACACGCACGTACGTGCTCTGGTGCTGTGTGTGGCTAAGGGCAATGAGAGGGATGGAGGGAGGGTGTGTGAGAGCTCCAAGATCAACCGGGTGGCTATTTATAGATGCACATCACATGCACGAGATGGGTGGTGTGAGCAGAGCACGGTGGACAGTGGCCAATCGATTTGATTATTTAGAGGATCTCAGGAAAATATCTCAACAAGTTGTACTACCACAAGCATGCACCCTGATGCATGGCATGGGCTGATTATCGAGACACAAATGCATACACTGAGGCACGTGGGGGATGTCTGGACTCTGGAGTGACCATCGTCACACACACACACACACACCCAAAAAATCTTTCTTTGTCACGTCCATCCCGTCTGTTTTACACTTCACGTGTTGATAAGCTTGAAAAGTAATACTCACTCCGTTCTATAATGTAGTGCTATAGATTTTTTTCTAAAAGTCAAGCATCACGTCTGGACTCTGGAGTGACCATCATCACACAAAAAGAAAATTCTTTCCTGCGACGTCCGTCCCATCTGTTTTACACTTCACGCATTGATAAGCTTGGAGATCATCAAATTTTAGTTGGAATTTCTTGGCCAGGTCTCGACCAGTGGCGGAGGCTCGCCACAATAACACATGGATTTCGGACCTCTGGGCACCCCTTCTATGCACGATGCACCCGCTGGCTGAACATCTCCAGCTATGGCAGGAGATCTCTGAGGACCCTCCCCTATTAGAGGATGACGATGCATTTTGATGGAGACTTGCGTCTAATGGTACATGCGCCCCGCCAGCTCGTCATATTCGCCGGCCTTCTTCTTCGGCGCAGCGCAAGTTGATTATGCGCGAGCTCTCTGGAAGAATATTGCTCTGCGAAAAGAGAAATGTTTTACTCGGCTCTTCCTTCACTACAGGTGTTGGACTGTAGACAGACCTTAGAGGAGGCGTTACCGAGACTCAACAAAAGGCCCCCTTTGTGACCAGCTGCCCGACTCGATTGATCACCTCATGATCACTCGCCCAATTTCTAGGGAGGTATGTTTCATTATCCTAAATCAGATGGGATTTTTTCATCTCACCCCTACGGTCAATGATGCTATTAGAGCCTGGCGGCGCTCATCTTTGGATTGGATGCCAGCTCGAAAAGCCAAGAAGCTAGCGGGGCTGATTATTGTCTGGAAAGAAACATGAGGTTCTTCAACAAAAATGTTGCTTCAACCAATCTCATGGCAAGCAAAGGCGATGGAGGAATTCTGACTTTGGGAGACGCTTTAGGTGGCGAGGGGCAGATCATCGCGAGAGAACGTAATTTGTACCAAGTGCTGTCGTGGATGTACATGGTACATATGGTTGCAATACCCCTTGTAATTCAACTGCTTTTCCCAATCTTAATGACAATGACAAGCAATCCAAGTTGCCTGTTTTGCACAGGGTGTTTCCTGCAACAGGAACATTTTCATTAGCATTGTGAAATTATCGGTTCGACCTTCGGCCGGGGTAGGACACTAATTAATTCCCTTCTCCAATGGTGGCTCCATACTGTTGACAACATCCCATTGCATCGCCGCAAAGACTTGTCAGCTCTTTGCATGCTCATTTGGCGGCAGACTTGTAATCTGGAACACTAGAGAGAAACAGCTGGATTTTCAATGCGAGTTGAGTGACTTCATCGGAACTTGCAATCTGGAATCAAGAGCGCGAGATTGCTGGCACACTAGACTAGTATTTCTTTTCTTTGTTCTTCCCCCTGAAACCCCTTTCCTTCATTGTATCTACATTTGTAAAGTTCTTGGCTGGGTGTACTACTTGTTTGCTGCACTCAATTTCTCTTTATTTCATTGATGAATTTTCCACTTAATGAGTGAAAATTGTCAAGAAAAAACAGGTCTCCTTTGGTTTATAGGATAATAATATCATAGGAATAGAAAAATCATAGGAAGTGAGATGACATGTGTCTTCATTTCTGTAGAGAAAGAGATAGTATCATTTAATTCACTTGATATGGACTTTTTTATTGGGACTAAGCTAAATGGCTAATATATTCCTATTCCCCGTAAAAAAAGATTGATTCCTATGTTACGTAGAAATAAAAAAGAAATATATTTCTATAAACCAAAGGGCTTCAAAGAATTTTTCTATAAAATTCCTTTACTTAAACCAAAACAATTGAAAAACCCATACATACCAAAGGGCTTCAAAGAATTGTTTTCTAAACCATGATTGATAAATAGATTGGAAAATTCTCTCTTAAAAAGAAAACAACGGAAGGAGGCCATGTGCAACGCGCTCGTAGCCGTCCGGGCCGGCCTCGTGCATCATGCAGATCGATCTCCCGGGATCACCGCTGCCACCACCGCGGCGAGAGACGTGGGCTGGCCGCGGCTCGCGCTCCACGCGCCCAAATATTTCAAGCTCTTCGTACGTGCTCGTGCTGCCACTGGCGGCGGAGCTTACGGGGGCGAAACACCGGCTCAGCACGTACGTGGAGGTCCGATCGACCGGAGACGAGAGCCGGACACTGCCACATTGGGAGCACGTATATTAATCCACAACCATGCATGCGAATCCCCCGTACGGTTTTTGGAGATGGCATCTCGCGGAGTTCAGGCTGCAAGTGGGACGTTTCGCGGGAGCCCGCGTCCACCTCCACGTCTGCCGTGTATTGTAAGTGGAAAGCATGTTTGGCTAAGTCCCTCCACATGAAGGTGTGTTGGCAGCCCAACATCAGCCCATAAGTCCAACACATGTCAGCCGTTGATCTGCGCTGCATCCAACGATTGAGAGCACTTCCAAGGGAAGTGAAGCAAGAAGAAAACCATAGCCACTCCACCCCTGGCTCGTGGTGGCTGCCATTCGTGAGAGTGAGAGAGAGAGCACACAAGAGAAAACACAACCTGAGAGAGAGAGCACACAAGAGCACACAAGGTTCTGTCCAGATTTGCTGCATCTGACTAGACAGTGTTCAAGCTGGTGATTGGAGGCTCAAACGTGCTTGGATCGACCCCAAACTTGGTGAGCTCGTTCCTTACTTTGAGTACTTCGATTTGGTTAGCTGGTTTGAGGATTGGGTCGGTGAAGCATCAGATTTGAGAGTGGTTTTGTCAGCTCTGACTGCTGCAGTTTCAGAACAGAGTAATTTTGGGAGATGAACAGTTTGGGTAGGCAAACGATGTCCGATTGAGCTGAACTTTGGAGGGGATCTCAGGAACTCGTGTGTCTACTTGTCTGCCAAATTTGGTGCTGTTTGGTTCAGCGGTTTAAGAACAGTTTGCAAAACACTGAATGGTACAGAAGCTGCGTAAACTCTGCTTTGCTGAAATCTTACTTCTTGTGGTTGTTGTTGCTGTTGCCGGTTAGCAACGTGGAGAGTGTGTTGTAAATCTCTCTAGAGGTTCTAGAGAAGACTTTGTACTCATCATTCTCATAGTGAAGTTGTGTGGACCGGTCGCTCCACAGCCGTGGTTTTTTAGTCCTCAAGCTGAGGAGGTTTTTCCACGTTAAATCCTGTGTCACTTGTGCATGTTGTTTGTGTTATTCCGCTGCTTACTTGTTGGTTGAAGCTGTCCTCAAAGTTCATCACAAATAAAGGGGGATGTGTAGTGTGCATATTTGCCGTGTCGGTGAATTTGTGCAGCGCATTGTTGCTGTCCAGCCCCAACAAAGTGGTATCAGAGCCT